AGAGTTACGGGTTAGAAGAAGGTAGTTTAAATAGTAAAATTGCCCAACGAAAACTTTTTATTAAAGCATCAAAAGTGGTTTCTTATGTAGAATTTCGAGAAATAAGCGATTTTGACAAAACGGACGTTTGTTTTGAAGTTCCTTGATCATGTTACGTTGCAATCTGCGTCACAAACCTAGCACACTTTCAAGGGGTGTTTAGAATTACGGCATTGCGTCAAGATAATTACGGTAAATAATACGGCAAGCGTCTTAATCGTATTATTCTGTAATTTGCAAAATTAATTATCGCCAAATATACACAGCTAATATTTAACCTTAAATTAGTTCTTACATTAGATCTTAAAGTAGCAACTCTGGGAACAACAAGTACATAAAGATTTTTTTTAAATTAAGTAAACAAAACCAAATTTTTTTAGTCGAATTTTATTTAAAAACTTTTTTAAACCTTAATTATTTTTATTTACAAAAAACCCTTTAAGATTTGAAGTTTCAAAAAACTTGGATGTAAGGCGATCTTGGTCGAATTTATTAACAATACCATTTCGCATTGGTTATCTATATCGCAAAAAAAATTGTCGGTCCCGTGGTCCAAAGCTATTCCGATCACTAATTTGACACAAAATTATAACTTTAAATATAACCTACTAGTGCATCCGTGCCTGATTTCTTCATAAATCTTGAAATAATGTGCCAAATATAGAATTGAAGTACATTTTTATATCATATTTCTATATAATTGTAGTAGTATCAATCATTGCACTTGTTGCTAAAGTATTTTGAATAGCTAAAGCTGTTCGCTAGTGCAGATTTTTCTACATATACAATCGTTTTTCATTTATGATTTTATTAAATAATGAATTATCTTTATACCACATACATATAAAAGATTTGGTATAAAAATTGACCAATATTTATTTATACGCATAATCTAGAACGGCATTTATATTTCACCCTGAATATTTGATTGTTGCAAAAGAATTTAAATTTATTCAATACAGTAAATAAAAAGTAAATAATAAACTAGGTTTATGTTTGATCAAGAAAAGTTAAAAGATGAAGAAAAGGGACTAGAGGTCTAATACAGCTAATAGAGATAACTTTTTGTTTTATAGCAGGTAGAGGAGTCAAATATTGTAAAGAATCTTGAGTTGATATTTCATACTTTATGTAAATGTTTTGCTATTTATAACGTTTTGAATACGTAGTATTTCTTTGTTGTGTTAGACATAGTAGAAATATGATGACTTTGTATTTAAAGATAGAGATTTTGGTAATTTAGTAATGTTTTAGGCTAGTTTGAGCTATGGGTCGGAAATATTTAGAGAAATCATTAGCTGAATACAAGTTAAATTTTGTAAGTTATGGAAGAAAAAAAAAGATGACTTGCTTGAACTAAATAGTGTTCTGTCTATTGAGGATTATTAATTTGTAAACTAGCTAAAAGATTCTCTAATTGAACAAGTTCTATTTGCTTATTAAGAAGATTATGTAATTCTTCCTTGGTAAAATTGGTTTCTAAAACACTTTGATAGGCATTTAATTGTCCCTTCGTTTGAAAATATTCATTACTTTCGGGATTAGTTTTTGTAATTTGTCTTTGAGTTTCTAGGAATAGGTCGACTATATTTCCTAGATTACCAGTTTTAGTTTTAGCGTCAATGACTAGTTGCTCTAATTGTTCTTTTTTTTTTCTAATTTGCGGTGCTAATTCTTGGTATTTAAGACGTGCAATTTCTTGTTTAATCTGAGTGAAATTATAAGATTGACTTGGAAAAAGTAGTTTAGAAAACTCTTCAAGTTGCTGCTTTGACTTTTCTAATTCTTGATTTTGCTGCTTTAACCTTTCTAATTCTTGATCTTGCTTTTCTAACTGCTGCCATAAACTATTGATTGTTTCACAAATTTTTTTGTCAATAAGTTTTCGAAAATTACTTCTTGGACCTCTCCAAGTATCATTATTAAATAGATCTATATTTCTGGGCCCATAATCTTGATAAAATATTCCATACTCATCACTTACTCCATCAAAAGGGTTATGCGCAATATATTCTAACCCATAAACTTGTGGATTTATTCCTGCTAAATCTAGCCTTTTTAAATTAGTCCAATATCGCAAGGAACTTAAATTTCCACGAATGTTATTTTTTCCAATACTTAACATTTCACAATTAATGAAAGGAGTCAAGACATCCAAATTATAAGAGCTTATTTGATTT